ACAGAAAATTTCTAAAACATAATGTTGTGCACTACATAAAAACGACACCAGGACCTCCCGTCCATTGCAGGCTTCGACGTCTTGCCCCTGACAATTTTAAAGTGTCAAAAAAGGAGTTTGATACATTAGTTCAGCAAGAAGTACTACGACCATCAAAAGCCTCAGTGCTCACCTTTACACATGATGCCAAAAAAGGATGTAGGGATACGACCATGTGGAGATTATCGTGCTGTTAACGCACGCTTGCTCCCTGACATGTATACACATCAAGGACTTTGCGTTGAAAAAACGGTGATAATAACTGCTTTCAGTTTGCACGAAGCGGTAAATATTATGTTTGGTTTACGCAACGTTGCCCAAAATTGTCAAGGATTTGTTGACAAAATTACAGGCGGCTTAGATTTTGATTATGCTTTTATTGATGACTTTTTAATTGCTTCAGAGTCCGAAGAACAGCATTTAAATATTTTGCTTAAACGTTTAAATGTAGTTATTAATCGGACAAAATGTGTTTTTGGCGTGCCGGAAATTACTTTTCTCGGTTACACCGTAAATTCTCGCGGCATTGAACCTTTGAAAGAAAGAGTTGAAGTAATAATTAATTTTTCAAAATCAGCGACAATAAAAAAAGTACAATGTTATTTAGGAAAATTTAATTTTTATCGACGATTCATTCAGTTGATTTTTATACAAAAATATTATCTGCTGCCCAACAAAAATATAGGGCGTACGATCGCGAATTGCTCGCTATGTATTCAGGCGTTAAACGACTTCAACATCAAGTAGAAGGTAGGCCGTTTATTATTTTTACGGATCACAAACCACTTGTTTACGTATTTTAGCAAAAGTTAGAAAAATGTTCTTCGCGATAATTTCGTCATTTGGATTGTATTGATCAATTTACGACTGATATAAGACATAAAAAAAGGGTCAGAAAATAGTGTTGCCGATGCATTATCTCTAATTGAAACGATTTCAAGCAATATCGACCATAAGTCACTGGAGTTAAAACCGAAATGTAACACAGAATTTAAAAAAATTTTGTCAAAAACAACTTTGCTAAAACTTAAAAAACTTAATTTTTCAGAACAAAATGTATTTCTGTTCTGCGATGTTTCAAATGATATTGTAAGACTGTATGTCCCGAAATCTTTGCGTAATGCTGTTTTCAATTCTCTGCATGGTCTCTCTCACCCAGGTATAGGAGCCACGCAGAATTTAATTAGTAAACGTTTTTGTAACGTCCTGCGTTATTTTATTAGATTTTATGTTTTTTTTCCTTTTTATTTTTTGTAAATTTTGTATGGAAAACATTTGTTTTATTTAAACTAGGTCTCATATTTTTTGTGTAAATTGTTTGTCTTTCTTTTAGAACCGATAACGAGACAAAGAACTTTCAGTAGTCTACACTTGTGGGATGCACTTTGAAATTTGGAAAATTCAATATAGATAAGAATATAGGTATTAAATCTTTTAGAATCTCTAAAGTGCATCTTTCCAGCTGTTGACTGCTGGGGTCTTTTTCCAATCTTATCACTTTCCCACGAAAGTCTAAGAGTTTCTACCATCAAAAATTACATCTGTTAGTCATAAAATTATAAAAATATTAGGATACAAAGTCCGTTTTATTTCTATTTTTTTTAAATAGTATCTCACTTTTCTCCTCCCCTTTTTCCCTTTTCCTCTTTCCCCCGCCCCTTAGTTCCCCACTTTTTCGAAACACCCTAATCTTAAAGATACGCCCACGCAAAGTCATCCCTTGCACGGCTGGGCCTGAAAGATCCAATCACATCTTTCTTTTAGATAAGTTCTCCTATTTTGTTTCATAAAAAACCCAATCACTGATCTTTTTAACTTCCCACTCTATAAAATATTCATCTTCAAATTTCCACCCAACTAAAAAATTTAAGTAGGGATAATAATATAAAAACTGAAGATTTGAATTAAAAAGGCAGTGTAATTTCTCAAGTCAAATTTCTTAATTCTCAGTGCAATCAGTCAAATTTCTCAATACTCAGTGCAGTCAGTCAAATTTATAAATTCTCAGTTCAAGTCAGGCAAAAATTCTCAATTATCATTTCTAAGTTCAGTTTAGTCAAAGTTCTAAGTTCAATTCTTAATTCTTAATCATCATACGAAGCCAAGACCCAAAATTCCAATTTAAACGAGTTTTCAACGAGCTTCAACAATTATAAATAGAACAGAAACAAAGTAAGTACTTTTATTGCATAATAAATTACTTTTCTCCTCTGATCTATTTTTGTCATACTTCTAATTCCGAAGTAGGTGGTGCGATTAAGTTGTGCATTTTAGTTCCTTCAATCCTTAAAAGATTTGATCGTTATTTTTTTTTATTAAACACCTTCCGAAAAGATTTTGGTGTATTTAGTGCATCATTATCTTTTCAATCCTTTTAAATTCTCCTTCAAATAAAACGAACCAATTTGAAAGATTTCCGAGTTGTGGGCAATGCGTCTAGATTCAAAAATAAATTAAAATTAAATAACTATGTTGCGTTGTGGGACGTAACATTTTGTATTCGCATCAAACTTGGTACTTGGGGGTTTTCAGGGTCGTTGATTACGAATATTATATTAGTTTTTTAAAATTCAAAATAGCGGGTCCAAAATCCTATCTCCGGCGATAGCCAGTGTTTCATTTAACATAAACAGCATCAATGTTATATTTGCTTACATATTGCTGTGTGCATCAGCTTTTATTATTTATTTAGTAAAAAATATCCAAATCATAAAAGTCCTTTGTAATTACATATTTTTAACAAAAAAAATAATTGAGATATTGTTGTTAATCTCTTCAGCATTTATGTTTTACATTTTATCTGTTTATGGAAAATATCACTCTCTAAAAGTTCATGAAAATTATATTTTATTTTGTTAATTAAATATTTAAACATCAAAATTTTTTTTTCTTTAAGATCATTAATATGTAGACGATTACTTTACCTTTAATTTAAAAAAAAATTAAATTGGTTGAAATATGCGTTCTCTACATTGAATTTTTTTCTAGGGGCCAACTCTGCGACGTCTTGGATATCTATAACCGCTTATGGAATGCGATCCCTCAATTAATAAAAATACTAGAAATTGAGCACGACAATCCATTGTGTTTCAACGAAATAAAATTACGAGACACGTTTCCGTGCCGGTTAATCAATTTAATATTTTAGCCGGGAGATTTGAACACGTACATATCGATTTAATAACAATGCCAAATTGACAAGGATTCAGATATTGTTTAACCTACGTGGACCGTTTTTCTTGCTGACCGGAAGCAATCCCTTTAGCCGATATGGAAGCCAATACAGTGGCCGAGGCGTTTCTCTCTACCTGAATTTCTCGGTTCGATGTCCTTTTAAGAGCAAGATCGAATCAAGGCAGACAATTCGAGTCTGAGTTATTTAAAAAATTATGCAAATTGTGAGGATCACCACATTTACGCACTACGTCCTTCCACCCGCAATCAAACGGTATGGTGGAGATATTACACAGACAATTAATGCTGATTCTACACTCACCTAAAACTGAGCGAGAGGTCCACATTTGCGTTACGTTTTTTGTATATATAGATATAGTTAAATATGAGAAACGTTAAGGAAAAGCGTACCGCTCGATCAGTTTTAGGTGAGTGTAGAATCAGCATAAAAACGGCTATACGATATCACGAGACAGATAACTGGGTATCGATGTTACCCATTGTAATATTAGGTATACGCACGGCTATTGAAGATGATTTAAAAGCAACTACGGCCAATATAATTTACGGTACAAATATCCGACTCCCTGCTGAGTTTTTCTTGACTTCAAAACGATAAGCAAATTCTGAATTTGGTGAACAATTACGTAAGCATATTCGTAACATTCGACCGAATTTCGTTTCACGACATGAGAAACAAATGATTTTCGTTTTTAAAGAATCATGAAACTCATCTTATGTTTCTTGTGCCACGATGCAGTAAAAGCTATTTTGCATTCACCTTTTGACGGACCGTATAAAGTTGTAAAACGAGGAGATAAAACATTCGTAATTTGTAAACATGACAAAAATGTAACAGTGTCAATTGATCGGTTAAACCCCGCTTTTATGGTAAAAGACGATAATGAAATTATTACAAGTCAGGAAATCCCTATTTCAAATGACAACGACAATTATGTTCCAAATAAAGAATTTTCTTCTCGTTCAAAAAGATCTGTAAGATTTCCTGATCGTTTTCAAGCAGGTTTTAATTGCATGTTAACATTACTCGACTATCACGATATTTATAATTTACGACGTATAATCTATGACGTATTACGTATAGCGTATGACATATGATGAAAAACGTAAGATACGGGAACGTAAGATGTAATGTACTTATCTCATTTTTTATATATATGACAATGTATTTATACGTGCGTATATTTTTGAATGGTAATGACAATAACTATCGAAATAAAAATTAATTTATTTTATTATATTTACTTGGCGACAAAAATTTTCTCTTTTATTGCTAGGGCAGATGTTTCGCACGTTTGAGTCTATGAGTTTTCATTAAAGATCTATTGATCTGATTTTTGCCTGTACCCTTCAAGCTACATTCGACATATTCTGGTCTACTACCAGAAAAGTTTGGTTTGGGTATTTGAGTAGTACGCACCTCTTTCAAAAACTGCATTGTAATTAGTCTGTACTTTGATTTTGATTATTAAATAAATTATATATATATTAATGTTAATGTAAAGTGACTAATTTTTTTTATTTATCCCACACAACTCTCACAGGTTGAATACCAATTTATTCATGAAATAGGGTTTAAGCATAAAATAATATAAAAATTCGCTTCTCCTGTAAATTTCTTGAACGAAATTTTTCTTTTTGATTTTACATTACTCAGAAAATTTTGTAGGAAGGAAAAATTGATGTGCCAAAACCTGTGGAATGAACTTGGTTCCGACACACCGTACATTTACATAATTAAAATTATAAACAAATATATGTTTTACCATTTTCTGAAGCTGGTATGCATTCACCAAGGTAAAGTTGCCCATCAGGGTCTCGATATGTTTTTCGCAAATGAGCAAGAGAAGTAAATTTTTGTATAGTTCCTGATAATATAAAATCATTAGGACCTATTTGATTTATTCTATGAGTTCTTGGTTTTCCATCTTTTCCACAAGCATCGAGATATATAACATTATACATCGTTTCGCTTTCTCGTAAAATATATGTCCCGAATCGATTGCCTCGCTTCTCTTTTAGTTTTGCGTACGAGAACTCTCCTCTGTGAATCAATAAAAAATAAAAATTTTATCTTTGTTAAAGTTGTTGAGAACCAAGATAGTAAATATTCAAATCGGTAACTGGCATAACAGTATAGTAATTTATTTTTAATAAAATCATTTACTATCCTCCTCATCATTTGCATTTTGTCGAATTTTAGGTTCTACTTTGTAAATAGTAAAAGTTATTTTATATTTTTTTCTGTGTAGATATTTAAAATTTACTCACCCTACAGGACCGTGGCACTTCATTTTTGACAGAGAGGCCAAACTAGGTGTTATAACTTCACGACACAAATTAAAAGTCCAAGTAATAATTAATCTGTAGTAACCATCAAGAGCAGATACAAATGACAAAAGTAAAGCATTCGAACTAAATTTCAAATATAAAGGTATTCCGATTCTCCTAGCTATTTCTACTGTACAATCAGGACTGAAAAAAGTAAATTTTAACATTTAAAAAAACTGACAGATATCCTTCATATTTTATAATCTATTCTTAAAACAAATTTTTTTAGAAAAGCATATTTTTTATTAATAATTATAAGGAGTTTTATATGAGATTAAGGGACTCTCAGTTCATACAGTAAGAATGATCAACTGTTAATCAGCTCATAAGTAAGGAAAAGGACTCTTATGTGACATCCAATAAGCACTCTCGCACTCACACTTAGGTCTGATCAGTATTTTATCATTCTTACTAAGAAATCTATGGGATCATCTTTCTATCTGCAATAGGATGGAAGTTATGATATTTTAATGAAATTAAGAAAAATAGTTTCATATTAATACTGAATATGATTAGTTTTAATTTATACACATTGTGTTACAAAATAATAATGTCAGATAGAGTTTCATTTTATGGTCGACATCGCATAGATAGTGAGTGTTTCGATTACTGAATTTAATTATTTGTCAGATTTTCGATCGATAGGAAAAAGTCTTGTTCCGCGTTATATTTATTTGTGTTGTGCGAGCCTCTTCAGGACTTCAGTGAAATAAATATTTAAGTATGAATTAAACGAAAGCCCGTCAGATTTTTTGGAAAAGGCGAGCTATGTCTGAGAAACATCGCCAAATAAGATAAGGATAAGGTGAAAATTGACTAAACTCCGCGTCATACTTCTACGTCCGTCGCCAATGACATAGAGGTAATCTGTTTAAAATTTGAGTGAATAATGTATCTGTTTTTGTGATTTTATATTTTTTTGTTCAATTATGATTGTAATTAGTGTGACGCAGGAGTTTCGTTGACGGATACGTATTTACGGGATTGATGGGTAGTAAGTAAATCCGGAATCTGCTTTTAGATTTTTAATATCGTGAGATTTTTAATTTTTATTAAATACTCTGTCATTTTAAATATGAGTTAAAGTTATCGAGGTTTACGACTTTTTTATAGTAGTAAAAATATAGTGTTACAATTTAGCATATTAAGAATATACATATTTTTACATTAGTTAATAATAGAGTATAAAAAGAACACGTTACAATGCATATCATTTTTACATACCTCATCGAAACGGTGCAAAGGTCTTCAATAGTGCAAAGTGTAATCCACTTATCGTCAACTTCACAATAATTTATCTTTTCAGATGTAACTCTGAGTGTTACTCGAGTCAATGTATTGTCAGTTCCTTTTTGCAAAAGAGCTTTGTGATCTTCACAAGGATAATTCGGAGCCATAGACTCGAATTGTATTAAATATTGTTCTTTCACATAAGGTGCATCGTATCCCGATAATCTTGCAAGAGAATTCTGAATAGGTTTTTTAATAAAAAAAGAATGCCTTTTGATGCACTCCTTTGGAATATACTTTTTATAATCTGATTGAACATTTTCACGAGATGTTTTCTTTTCTAACATTACTCTAAAAAATGAATAATTTTTTTTTGTTAAAAAAACATTTAATCATTCAGTACTATTATAAAGTAAAGAATATACTTTAAAATTTGTATACCTATACATATCACAGACACCAAGCCCAATAAGTTCCGATTTGTGTTTTTCATATACAATTTCTGATACACTATTTTCCATTACGTCAAGTCTTACTTGCTGAAAAAAATATTCATACGCTTTGGAATCAATTCTCCTTAATCTATTTAAAGAAGAAGGTTTAAATCTTATACGAAATTCAAATTTATCTTCCTTGCCATCGAGCAAATGACCCGGTGGATACCAATATTTCTTTTTAAAATTTCGTAATGAAAATAAATTTCTTGCTATTGGTCCAATCCCAAGTTGTTTGCAGACCTGTAAAAAATTTAAACACAAAAATTATTTCGTTTTTAAATTATACACCGAAAAATATTTCATATCTCAGTTAAAGTAAGTGACATTGTTCAATACATCCTTGACATTTTAAAACATTAATTTTTATGAAAAGGAAAACAATTTTTCTTTGTTGTCAGAAACTGCACGATAGAAAATAACAGAAATCAGTTGCAATGATTTAAATTTTTATGCTCTCGAATCTGCTCGCCGGATGGAGCCAAGATTCTTTACTTTAAGACATTACAAAAACTTTTACTTGATAGGACTTCTAGTCTTCTATATTTCTAACATGCTGGGTGAGTGAGGGATAGTCGATGACAACAAGGCAGGTTAAAAAGTACAATTAATTCCTAATTTTATAAATAAATAATTCCCTCGATTATATGTAAATTTATTAAAATTGTTGAAAAAAAGATAAGGAGTGAAACATTTTCTTGTAATTAACGAAGTGAGAAGTTTGTAAAAACCCTGTAAGGGGTATACAAAGAAATAAATTATTATTATTTTAATTCCCTCGATCGTCATAAGAAAACGAAAATAAAGGATATTAAGTTTATTTTTAGAATAAAATTTGAAAGAATAAATATAATACCTAAATAGAATATTAAGAAAACGTTATAAATTAACAAAATGAATTAAGACCACACGAGGTTCAGCACCTATCATTTGACAAGATTGGCAGGGGCACCCATAGAAAACCCTTATAAGGCATTGCTAGATGGAGGGAAGAGATATTTTTTAGAATACTCTGGTTTGAAGGTAGGTGCATCTATACCCTATTTAAGAGCACTCCCTTTGGCTACGTCCCACTATTAGTCTGAATGGTCGGTCGCTATCATTTTCTCCAAAACCCAATTGACAGAATATCCGGAATCTCCATTTGCCATAATATTTTACTTTCAAACACTCCATTTGTCAATATTTAATTTTACAAATCTCTATTTGACAAAATAATTGTATTCCCACATTTTAATTTGCCATAATATCTAACATTCCGAATTTATTTGAAATTAACAAATTTCCATATGTCCAAATATTTAACATTCCGAAATTCCAGTTGTCAGAATATTGAAATTACCGAATTTGCATTTGTCCGAATAATTAACTTTTCGAATCTCCAGTTGTTAGAATATATAATTTCTTGAATTTTTATTAAATAATTGAATTTATCACTCAGTCACCATAGTTAAAATATGAAACTTGAATTGAACGATCACTCCGAGTCAGGTTTGAAATAAAACAAATGTTTACGTTTCGACAGCGCAGCTGCCTTCTTTAGAAACTACAAATTTATTAAATAATTATAATTAGAATACATAAAAAATAGATTTTTCGTAATAATTCATATGAAAATTGTATAAAATTTAATTACCGGAGAAAAAAGAAAATAAACGTCTGTCTTAACAGTTTTTATTTGACAGTGGTAAAGTAAATATAAAATTTTTGGAAGTACATAGAATCAGCTGTGACGAGGTGAATGACCGCATCAGTAATGTAACATTGTAAAATTGATAATTTTACAATTTACGAATATAAATTTTATTTTGTCAGATTAGTTATTTATTTTGATCAATTTTTAATTTCTTTTTAAATTTTCTAAATTTGTCGTTTATTCTGGTCTGATTTACATCAATGATTTCACAAAATTTCGAGATAAAGACCCAATTTTTTTTTTAATAATGAATAATCTATGTGGGGCATTCTATGGGAAATTTTCATTGAAAATTTTTTTTGTCCGAAACATTTTTTTTCGAAATCTATATGAAAAATAAGGAAATAGGTATTTTTTTAATTTTTTTATTTGATGAAAATGAAGGAAGTTATGATTTTTTGAAATTTAACGTCAACGAAGAAAGTGTGTTTTTGGAACATTTTTTAATCTATTGTACTAATAAATTAAAAATTAAACTATATATGAAATTTATTCATTTTTTCTCAAATTTTTCAAATATGTGCTCAAAAATAACGTACCTATAACAGAAGCAACAAAAAAGTTGAAATTAAACTTATAAAGTGAGTTTTCTCAAAAGAGACACTTTCGAGTTTTAATTTTTTTTTTGCATTACAATCTCTGATGACTGAAGAATTTTTTCCCCTATCTGCGAAAGTGGTATTTTTACTTTTTAAATTACTATTTATAATATTTTTAGTACGGCTCGCAGAATTTAAGCATTTTTTCAACAAATATAACCTTTTTCCATTAACATTCATTTGTTTTTTTTTAATTTTCATAAAAACATACTAAAAATCGTTGCGTCAAGCTGAAAAAATTGTAAATAGTAATTTAAAAACTAAAAATACCACTTTCGCAGATAAGGGAAAAAAATTCTTCAGTCATCAGAGATTGTAATGCAAAAAAAAATTAAAACTCGAAAGAGTCTCTTTTGAGAAAACTCACTTTATAAGTTTAATTGTTCCAAAAACACACTTTCTTCGTTGACGTTAAATTTCAAAAAATCATAACTTCCTTCATTTTCATCAAATAAAAAAATTAAAAAATACGTATTTCCTTATTTTTCATATAGATTTCGGAAAAAAGTGTTTCGGACAAAAAAAATTTTCAATGTGTTACGGACGGATTTCCGTAATATTTACAATTTTTTTTGGGGCGATAAATATTATTTATTAAAAATAATATTAATATAATTAACGTTACAAATACTTTGTCAATTATATACCTACACCTATACAACACAAACACACACACATACTAAGTTTCGGACACTAGAATATTCAAATAATATTTCTAATTAATTCAATAAATATTTATAATTTCATTTTTTTATTTAATGTCTAAATCAAAATTATATCGCAAATGAATTCAGATTATTGAACCTCATATTGCGAAATAATTTGAACTAAATTATCGATCAATTGCACAAGTTGTGGAACATACACCGTATAGAGTTGCCACATTATTTTGGAAAATGAGGAAACATATAAAGTATACCGATAATAAAGATGGTTGAACCGATCACGCCACGATTAAAATGCAAGTTTTGCTAAAACTTGCATGGAAACAACGAGGTGTTGATTGCAAAATCAACCCTCCCACCACCTAAAATTATATACCAAATGGGTGTGATCGTTGCCACCAAATTATTGTTAAGGAAGTCTTATTTTGTATTTCCCGCAAGGCGGATGTATTTCCCGCGAGAAGGCGGAAGAATTGTTATAAAGTTTTGTTCCCACTAAAGGTGGTAGAATTAGTTACTATTTACTCCCCTCAGTAAGGGTAGAGCTTGTCAAATTATTCTAAAATTATAAAGTGTTATTCCACAATTTGTGAAGTCGTCTATCATATAAAAAGTTCGTTGAAAAAGGAAGATTATTTTTCCAAGTATAGAGTGTTATCAATATAAAGAGTGCAGAATCCTTAATTCATAAATTATTATTATTTGTTATCTCCACAATTGTTTATATTTCAACTTAACTGTTTATAAATTCAGAATTGGTGAACCCAATATCCTGAATTTTTAATGAATAGAAATTGAAATATTGAAATAATTGTTCAAGGACAATAGAATAATACAAGTTTGTTAAAAAGCAAAGATATAAAATTAGTGATGCATATCGAGACGAGATGCTCTTCTGTCTCGTGTATTTTATGTTCGTCACACAAGGACTTTTTATGTTATGCGCTCGTATGTTCTTTTGTTTTTTCTCGACTCGTTTTTAATTCAAAAACTCGTCATTTTGACAGTTTCCTCCTAAACCTAACCACAGATTACTTATGTACTTATGTATGTATTACATTAGTGTTCTTTTAAATTATCTTTATTATATACTTATCATTTCATTGTAATTTACCTGTTTTACTTTGAGTTTATCAATTAAATTATAATAATTTTTCTATAATACAAAGAATGCGTTTTTCTTTAATTAAAAAAAATCAATGAAATATAAGGCTTGAAAATCTATAAATGTTACCGTATTTGAATAAAAATCTTAATGTATTCATTGTTAAGTAAATCAAATCTAACACTGAAAAATGACTTTTGGAAAATTTAAAATTAAATTTTTTTCCAAAAAAGAATTTCGTCAAAATTAACAATATTTTCTTCGTAAATGAAGGATTTGATAAATTTTGTAATAATATAATTTATACTTCGGATAATATGGGCTAAATTTAAACTGAAAAAATGTTATTTAAACATTACTTTCATTCTCCTATACATATAGTTATCCTGGACGTAACTTTTTAGGTTACATTTATTCTATCTTGACATTAATTTTATTATTAAAAGAATCTGCGATCAGTCTCGTCAATTTCAAACTACTTGAAATAAAAAATGAAGCAAGACGAGGCCTCGTTATAAAGTAGCAACCATCTCGTCTGAAAGTGGTCATTTCTCGATTGTTTTGATCGAACTGCATCACTATATAAAATAAAGGAAGGTAAAAAGATCGACTTCCTCATACCACGGAGTCGTATGACAACCAAGAGTTTTAAAATCCTCAAAGAGTTAGAAAAGTAATGTGATACTTTTCTATATCATTTTTAATTGTTATTATTTAGGTGAGTGGTTCTGAATTTATATACACTATTTGAAAATTACCAAATCTCATAAACACACACAATCTCACTTACTCTAATTACACTAATTATTTTCTTGTTGCTAAAATCTTTATTTTATTATTGGTTATTTTCATTTATTGTACTTACAATAAATGATATTTTTGTGAGACTTGAATTTAAAATTCAAGTAGCTTAAAGTAGTATCTGTTTTTAATTGTAATCATTTTTATATTAAAGATTTAATCGGGGAATTGAATGTATACACTTGGGGGGTTGTATGAATAAATAGATTTCTTATTTTATGTTAATTAAAGTTTGATTTATTTAAATTACCTTTATATGCAATTGTCTCATTTCTTTCTTTGTAATCGTTTTCAATAAAATACCGTCTACCCGGGGGTGTTGAATGAATAACATTCTGGGTGACAGTCCACTACCTTTTTCTAACTTGCTTAGCGAA